GTATTTTCTTGGCTTCCAATAAAGCATTTTTCTTCATTTTTTTAATCTGCAATAAATCGAATAGAGCCATCTAAAAAACGCATTATTAAATGCCAGAGATGCTTAAGTTTTGTTACAAATACATAAATTTATTTATAGTCCCAGACGAAAATGCAGCTGAACCTCTAAAGATTATACGAACAAACCGCTTTTTTCTGAGAATGTTGATCCAAAAAAATATGCAAACAAGTTTACTGTTCCTACCCCCGGCTTTCCCCTATAATCATCCCCTTCTCTTAGGGGAACAAACGCAAAAAATCGATTTACCAAGAATCTGTGCGTGGTAGAAAAAAATATTTCCAATAAAAAATATAGCTTGAAGCGACGCGGCTACTTGCGCGAAATCAATTTTAAATAAAATTTGTATCAATTCGACAGTAAAAATTCGATATCTTTTGATTAGAGTGTTCTCGGATACGATAGATGTATCGACAAAAGGCCAAAAGCGTTTTAAAGGTGAAGCGTGCAGTTTTTTCTTATGCAATGTTTGCATTTCGCCGCAAATAAAGTCAATTTCTATAAAAGCGTTAAAGAAATAAACGTTGCGCGATTCTTGCCATCATTTTTTACGATTCTCATGAGATCATCAAAATGTATCACTTTTCCATTAGCCGGTCACCATGAAATTTTTATTGTTAAAGTCCAGTCTTCAAAACCTATAGCATGAAATTTTGATTTTGATTTTTGGAAACAAATGCATTTGAAATAAGCCTAAAACGCCGAACTTTCACATTATAACGATTGCACGTGAGGGAATATACTTCGACGAATACGGCATTTGGTGATATTTATAGCTAAAGTAGTGTAGTTTATAAAAAAGTACTTAAGTAATGGGAAAACTAGCAGTTTTAAATGTTTTAGATTTACAAAGGAGAGGCAAATTTAAATGAGAAAATTACCGCCGTCTCTTGTGCTCAGCTTATAAAATCTTTATATCCATCCTCATTAAGCGACTTTGACCATAAAGTGAAAATAATATCGGGAATATCCATCCGGTTTTCGGCAAGGGAGGTTGAGTCGACAATATATCAAATGTTCAGTGAAAAACAAATTTTAAATAAATATTGGCAACACGATATCGATGTTCATATGTTCAAATTTTTAATTAAACTGATATTAACAATTTTCTACTTGAAGAACTTGGTTTTACAGTGATGTAAAGTGGCGTAAAAAAAATCATATTCAAAATACTTTTTCAAATGTTACCATATGGTAACGGTAGACAACCCCATTTGAGAAGTGGCAACACAACTGTTGGTTCGATCGGAATGCGTTGGTTATTTATGAAAACGATTTTAGTAAATGAAAGAATTCGTTGTGGGTTACATCTTTGACGTGAAATCTGTTAATCAGTTTTATTCAAATTGTCAAAATTGTGGTATCAGTTATAAACTTTTGAACATGGATATCCGTCGAAAGTAAGTAGACTTACTGTTGATTATTAAAACTTGGTTTTTGAATTGTTATAAAAAATACTGTAACTAAATAGCCCACATCCGATGCGTGGTACGTGTAACAATTCTTAGAAGGATGAATCGAGGCGATGCTGCGTATATCCTAAGATCGATTCCTAAGGGTCAAGAAAAATGTTACCAGACCTTGTTCACTAGACTAGACAAACGTTATAGAGATGCCCATCTACAAGTCTACAAAGCACAACTAAGATGTAGAATTCAACGAGCAAGGGAAAATTTGCAAGAGTTTGAAGCAGATGTTGCTCGTATAGTGCGTTTGGCTTATCCGGCAGCACCAGACAACATATTGGAAGAAATTGCTGTAGATACCTTCATCAATGGGTTGAGAGAAAATGAATTACAGAAAGCATTACGACTAGCAAGACCGAAAGTTTTAGATGAACCACTCGCCATTGCCTTGGAACACGAGACAGCTAGTCGAGCTTCACGGAGCTATCGAGTACGAACCTCTGAAGAGAGCGACGAACAAAACAATAAACGTCCGGAGGAAATCGTACGGAAAGTAGTTCGTGACGTATTCGCCGTAAATTATAAGAAAATAATACAAGTCAGGAAGCTAGAACAAATCGAACACTGTGCTGGAAAAAATCATTCAAATGCTGATGTTCGGTCAAGACGGCCATGCAGTTGGAGGAACGACTTTGCCCCATGAGACGAACCACCGTCATTAATGATCAATGGCAGCCTCAACAGCTACAAGACGCTCAAGCAGATGATCCATGTAATCCAGAAGTCAAGTCTTATTGGAGCCGACGGAATTGCCTAGTACTAAAAGTTGATTTTCTGTATAGAACCTATGGGAACGACGATGGTACAGAATCTAAGCTTCAGTCTAAGCACAACATTCATGAACTTCCTCAAGGCTTGTCTCCTAAACTGCAAAGACAATGGGAAGGTCCGTATGAAATTAAAAAGAGAATACATGATGTAACATGCCAAATTAAGAAGTTGCCGAAAGGTAAACCAAAAGTAGTTCACATAAATCTTCTTGCACCTTATGCTGGCTAAAATGAAACGGAAGAAACACGAACTCTTCAACATCAGATCAAAGATGACCGGCGACCAGCTTTAATGTATTTATGTCACATTACGTAGAGAAAAAGAGTGCTAGATTCGGCGTGACCACAGAATTTCAGCAGGATCTTTTTAGTGTCTCTCTAGCCCACTGTGTTTGCGGAACATCTTGAGATGACTAAAGGAATCTTATCCGTATTCTATAAGAAGTTCGGTTGTTGGAACGAGTTAAAAAATCAACAGCCTAAGGTTGGAAGAGTGCTGAGTACTGATCTTTGCTGTATATGGTGACCAGGAAGTCTTATACAGACAAGGCAAGCTACGAAGATATATAGCATGTTCTAACTAATTAGAAGAAAATCGTGTGCAATTATGATATCAAGAATTTGGCCTTACCCAAGATAGGCCATGCACTAGAAAATCTGAAGGAATTGGAAATTGTCAGAAGGATGCTTGAAGTGATCTTTCGAGAAATCGGCGTACGAATTACTGTGTGTTGCATTAACCCGAAGAGATCGTGCCGTTCAAAGTAAGTAGACTTCTTGAGGAATTTATACAGAGCTGGAGAGTTCTGTAGATTCCGCCATACTGGACCTTCATGTAAAATTGCTGATCGGGATGTTCAGATCTAAGAGGGAGCACTGTAACAAAATAGCCTATCTCCGATGCGTGGTATGCGTCACAATTGTTAAAAGGATGAATCTAGAATATACAATCGATGGCGTTCTCAATAGCGCCTGCCTTCGAGCGCTTCCGACATGGAAAATAGAGATGGACTACTCCAGAATATTCTAGTACATAATAACTTGTATGTATAAGCTGCGCTGATATTAGCTTAGTTTAGTTCTTAAAACATTATCGTACTGTAAACTTATAAATAAATATATTTGCATAAATCAGAACCGCTCGTTTTATTGGTAAAACGCTACACAAGGTTATTTATAGATACTTCAAAACCGGATCCAAAAACTTCTAATGAAGAAATGAACTGTGTAGGTAATTGGGATTATGATTGTAACAGGATATAATGAGTTACCCGGAAGTGATTTTTACTGGGATTCCAAACAAGATTTTAGTCATTGAATCTATGAGAAGAGATCGGTTCCACCAAATTTTAAAATATTTGCAGTGCGCCGACAATAAACAGCCTGTACATGATGACAAAATGTGGAAGCTACGACCACTGATGAGCCTATTCAAACGCCGCTTTATTGACAACTGGATACCTGAACAGAAGTTGAATTACGATAAGGTTATGAATAAATACTTTGATGAGCATTTATGTTAACAGTTTATTCGGGGTAAGCCCATCATATTTTTGTATAAAATGTGGTCCCTGAACTCTGCTTCTGGTTATTTGGTGAATTTTAATATATATATATATATACTATATATATATATATATATATATATATAATATAAAGGAAAAACCCAAAGGCAAACACTACTTACGAAAGCGATTTTGGAAAATAGAATTCCTACAAGTTGTGAGTTACCTAAAAAAAGCATGATTTCAATATCGAAAAAAAAAAAGAGACATGATGTCTGCCATCGACAAAGAAGATGGAATATTAGTGAAGTGAATGGATATTAACATAGTGACAGTAGCATCTACATGTCATGGCGTCAATCCAGTCACTCAAGTTATTCGTTCAAGTTCGCTCTTCTCGAACCAAAAAAAAAACTATTCAAGTACCACAACCTTACCTCATCTCTGAATATAATCGGTTTATGGAAGGCACTGAGTTCATGTACCGGCATATATCCAGATACAGGATTTCAATTCATATAAAAAAGTGGTAATGGTCAATTTTTATTTGGCTACTAGATGCTGCTATAGTCAATGCTTGGGGTATATCCAAGAAGTGGAAAAATGAACCATAGCATACCCATTCAGACAGTTAGAAAAGGTGTTAAAAGACCTGCGAGTGCTATCTATGCTAAGTTTATCTTTCAATAAGGTTTCAGATAACTTAAGATATGACAGAACAGACTATTTTTTTACAAATATTCCTAATATGAGACGTTGATGTACCGAAGAAGGTTGTAATTCAAGTATTCACACTATGTGTGACAAATGTGATGCAGAATTATGCCTAGAGTAACATAAAGTTTCATAGCCCACAGTTATAATTTCCTTGTACAATAATTTTTTTATACCATAGCCGGTTAGCGTTACCAAAACGTAACGGCATTTTTGAAAAAAGTATCTACATTTGTGAAAAATACTTGAATATAATAATTTGTGAAAATACTACAATATGATTAATAAAGTCTTTTGACTAATATCTCTGATGTTTCGTTTACTTTTTTTGCAAAAAAAACCCCGTTAAAGGATTAAAGTAATGCAAATCAAATTATGAACCAAAGCCAAATAATAAAAACATTACAACAATTTGCCTAAATGTTGTAAACATTACAACAATTTGCCTAAATGTCGTTTACACATCTAAAAACTAATAATAAACTTACCAATCTATATTATCATTTAAGGATTTTTTATGCTTGGTCAATAACTTTTCTGGTAATCTTTCTAATAGTACGTAACAGTCATCTTTCTTATCTTTACTTGTATCACCTTCTTCGCTGTCTACAGTCGACACTCCATTAAGTCCAGGAATATTAACATCGCTGAAACTTGATTGCCTAAAAACAAAATGTATTTATAGTACGTTATTTACTAACGCCAAGGTTAAGGTTTTGTTTTTATATATTGCAAGTTAAAAATTTATTTAGAAGTCGTCCGTTGTTCACAATACATGTTTCGACTTTAATAAGACATATCAAATAGTACTAGATCGAAAAATAAAACATAAAGTTATGGCGCTTGAAGTTAAATACTACATAAGAACACAATTATTAATTGACGACCATCCATTGGATCATGTAGAGATAATTATAGAATCCACGTTAGCGAAATGACAATTCTCAGAAGAGTAAAAGGCATTAGAAGACTCTTGACAGACAAATAAATGAAGTAATAAGACCAAAAGTGAATATCTACTCGATAAATGAAAAAATAAAATAAATACGGAACACAATGGAAACAATATATAAACAAAATGGATAAGAATCGACTAACTAAAAAATACAGAATTACACACAAAATGAAAGAAGTTACAAATCCCTGAAAAGATTGAGGGTTATTGGCCAAATGACTTTATCCCTTCAATGGAATTTAAGGGATATTCATACACATTATCAGTTCCGATATACAAGAATATGTAGTTTGGCTGTATGTTATTAACATCACTTAAAACATAATTAAATGTAAAAGTAATAAATAGTATTGAAGTATACCACAAGGGAAAACAATACTCAGCCACCTATAAATACTTGTGGAACATTAACGTGAATAATGATTCGTCTTGCTTTCGACATACAATCTTTTCTCTGGTGGCTATTTAACATAACTTAAATAAGTCAAACAATTGTTTATACCTTTCAGTTTTCAGTATTAAAGAACCAAACGATGCAATGTTTTCGAAAAAAAAAGCTCAACTGCAGGTCCAGACGATATTCCCTTGATATTTCTACAAAATCGTCACCAATATACATACGAGGAAAAACTCCAACTGTTCAAAAACATTTGGTTTTCCCAATAATTCCAATAACTATGGAGACAATCCCTAACGATTCCTATAAAAAAAGGCGATCAATCTCCAAACATGTTAAACTCATACAGGCCAATCTCTATCACCTGTACAATATGTAAACTGTAGAAAAAATGGTTAGTAAAAGATAACTATGGTACCTTGAACAAAATAATATTCTCGAACAATTTCAATCAGGCTTCAGACCAAATCGATGCACTATGGACAATTTTCTACTTCTTCAATCAACAATTGCGCATGCCCTATCTAACAAAAACGAAGTATGTAATTGCAATCTCCCTTTTCATCGAAAGCGTTTTTGACTCTATACCGATCTCTGCAATAGTAAACAAACTAAGTCAGAACAAGCTATCTGGTAATATATATTCCTTTATAAAAAACTTTCTCACAGATCGATCCTTTAAAGTAATTACTAACGGCAAAATATCCTCACATCACACAACAAAAAACGGTGTCCCACAATCCTCTACAATGTGGAATATATGCTGACGGCATATTTATTTGTCATGGAAAGGTCACATCCACCACAAACACTTCACACAGATAAACATCTGGGTCATTCAATCCGGCCTTAACTTCTGCCCATCCAAGTCCAAAGTTATTCATTTCACCAGAGGACAAAACACGCAATCTCCTACCATTTCTCTGAATGGAAATTGTCTCCAAGTAGTAGACCAAATAATGCTTCTCGGTATTATTTTGGATAAAAAACTTCGAATCGAAGGGATTCCCTTTGATTATTTAGAAATATTCTCATTGAGAATTCTTATTCTTCTTCTCTCATTAATAAATACCTTTTTGTACAAAGCTATGGTTCCTCTTTGAATGATATACCCAATGGTGACCAACTTAGAATAATATCAAATAATTCCATGAATGATACTGTTCTGCCTAGTACTGCACTTGGGACTCCTACCACCCATTACTAATCTTTACCTTATTTTCCTCAAGTTACTGACTTATTAAACTGTATAAACAGAAGAACATACCTGTTAAAATTGCAGTTAAGAATGCCAAGACTGTTAGAAATTTATTTTCAAAAACTAAAACACCCTTGTCCCTTCTGGAACAAGTGAATGTCATTTATCATATACCTTGTGCTGAGTGTGACTCTTGTTACATCGGTCAGATTGGAAGATCACTGAGAGGGCGTCTTAAAACGCACCGCAGTGATATCAACTTATCCAAGCATACTTGGGCCCTTGCACAGCATGCAAGTAACACTAAACACAGGGTAGATTTTAATGACGTTAAGATTCTTGGTTTTGAACGCAATCTCGTTAAAAGATAGTTTTTAGAAATGTGTTATATACTTAAACACCCTAACACTCTTAATAAGAGAACTGACATTAGTAACTTGAGCCAAATTTATCATGCTCTAATATTGCAGAATTAGGCTTACCATGTTATTTACTTAAAAAATTGTCACCTAAGGTGTTTTCTTTACATAATTTCTTTTCAAATAAATAAAATAAACTAAAATAATAATTTCTTACTCTACATTATCTCAGATTTATGCAACTTACATTGCATTACTAATGTCAATGTTGCTTTTGGATAATTGTATTAATTGTTTTTATTCAAATAGTTTAATACAAATTTATTACTATAAATGATTCATAGAATCCCCATTAATTTTCAGTTCCAAATGTTATGAACCTTGGACTGTTGGAAGTTTAATCATCCTTCGCCTGTGGCTGGCTAACCAGTCACAACGTAGACTATTTATATATGACTTTTTGATTGACCTCCCTTGTTTGTTCTTTGTTCATCTCAACCGATCACTAGGGGAAAACAATTCTTCTGAATACATATTAAAAAGTAAAGGGGAAAGCACACATCCTTGTCTTACTCCTCGATTTATAGGTATTTCTTTCGATTTTTGTTGGTATATTCGTATTATGGCTTTCTGATATCGATATAGATTGGCAATGATTCTCACGTCTTCATCATCTAATTCTGTGTTCTGCAGTATTTTTGCCTTTATTCGGTGTTGCACTTTGTCGAAAGCTTTTTCGAAGTCGACTAGACATATTATACGTCGCAATTGACATGTCGACATAGTTCCTTAGTTTTTGAACAGTAAATAATGCTTTTCTGGTGCCAAGGCCTTTTCTGAATCCTGAGTTCTAAATTCTGAATTTTTTATATGTTTTAGCGCTTTTTCGTTTATCGTTCACTTGCGCGTCTATAAATTGTAATACATTCATCAGATCCAAAAAGTAAAATCTGAGTCAATCTGTAAAAGCGCAGTCTTCATTTTCCGATTAACATGTTCTCTTAAAAACCTTAAACGTGCACACAGTGTGACCCGGTTAACAATGAAGAAGCAACAGGCATTCTGGCACTAACTCAATCATTACGAATACTAAACATTTTGCAGTTGCCTGGCTAAATTATTTACTTTTAGTCTATAAAATGGAAAAACAAATTATCGCAATGCATGTAAATAGTCCGTTAATAAAAATAGCATTTTGACCTTAATTACTTCAATAAATATGTAGTAATACCTTTTTTCAGCAAAAAACACTTTAACTTTGGAATGCTATGAAATTGTACATTTCTAATTAAGATCATACTTGGATATTAAAATTGTTTGACAACGATAACAAGAGAAAATGTTCTACAAAAAATAACTTATGCTTCATAAACAACATTAAACTAAAAAGATTAAATAATTAAATGTGATAAAAACTTACGTATCCGAATCTATAATAGAATCGCTTAGTATAGAATCATCATTATTTAAGAGATCTAATACTTTGTCAGCCTCTTCTTCATCATTTTCATTATCTGGGTTATCATTATTTAATAGATCTAAATCTTTATCAGCCTCTTCTTTATCATCTTCTTTATCCGTGCTATCATTATTAGGCACTAAGTCCGGGAAATTTTGTTCATTAAGTAACTCTAGAAGTTCATCAGCCTCTTCTTTATAATTTTCTTTATCCGTGTTATCATTATTAGGCACAAGGTCTGGGAAATTTTGGTCATTAAGTAACTCTAGAAGTTCATCACCTAAGTCACTTGCAGTTCGCTTATCCGATGTTTCTATATTTGACTTTGTTTTTTCTGAAAGTAATACATCCTCTTCTTCTTTAGGCTCATCCGGATCAGACTTAATATAATAACAAATAGTGTCTTGAGAAGTATTATGACTCTGATTTCCTAAAAATGAAAATAAAAATATATTAAAAACAATCTTGATAAAACAAGATAGAAGAAGATGATTTAGATAAAATAGATCTCACTGTGTTTGTTGTGTTGAATGTTGTTGAAATGTTGAATTTATTTCCTATCCTTTTAAGTTTTTCTGATAAACCTTTTATGTATATTGTTATTTTCCTCGTATTATTCCTTGTGTATGCTGTAGCATCTCGTTCTAAGTTGTTCTGTTCTATTCGGTCGATTGTTGAAAATGCCTTATTTATAAACGATAAAGGATAATCATTTTTTAATAAAACATGTTAATAAATGTTTTTCCTCCAAAAACGAATTTTCGTTAGAATAAGCAATTTTGGCTCTATCGTATAAGGATTTAATGATTCTCTTTATAATATCGATATCGTGATTTGGTTTGTAATTTAAATATCTGCTGGTGTGTGTTGGTTTTCTATACACCTGAGTCTCATATCCAGTATCGTTCTTAAACATTTTCCCTCACAGACACAGATATATTTCTTTTCTACTTCTAGTTCTACATTTTTAATAGAAGTTTAGTACTGTTGATAAAATTATGTGTCACAATTAGACTATGTTTCCTAACTTGTTCTAATTTTGCAAACATATTCTTTAGATCATTACTTGATCTTGTTTGAAATCATCTTCAAAATCTATGATTTACTGGCCGTTGTTTATTAGTGCTAAGAATATCTTAAATACATCTGTTAATAAGGGATCTCCCCGTTTTGATCAGAATATTAAGGAAAACTTGCTTCTACTATAGCTGATCTAGGTGTTTTGGTTAACGACATTCTAATAACGATCTAATCAGTTGTTATGTAATTTCTAGTGAACTCATTGCATCATACAACATATTGCAAACTATGGAGTTATAAGTCTTTTTAAATGCAATAAATAAAATGTGTACTTCGATTTCTCCTGAGTTTTTATTTTTTAGTTCTTTTATTTCTTTTGCCTCTTCTACTGTCCGGTCTTGTATTATTGCTTCGTATTATCTTGTATTTATATTCTTATTTGTTCTTCGACGTTTGGTAAGTCTTCACACTCTTTGTTACCCTTTTGTAAACACATTAATTTTATTTAATCTGCCGCCTCTATTATGATTAATTATATATATATATATATATATAATATATATATATATATATTATATATATATATATATATATATATATATATATTATATTCCAACTCTTCTTCGAGATCATCAATTATCAAAAATAAATTAATAAATAGACAAAAACATTTTATTGCAGCGAAAGTATTCTAAAAAAACTAAATTAAATCTTACCTCCTTCACAATCTGTCAGATATTCTTCCAAATCAACATCCATCAAAGTGTCTTCATTACTTTCATTTTGCTGGTCTACAAAATTAAGAAATTCATAAATTATTTTCGGTATATTTAAATTAAATATGGCTACATTAAAGTAATTAAAGAGAGAATGACTTAACAAAACCCTTAGCAATCCTAACCTATAAAAATCGGCATTTATAGCAAAACGTAACCTAACCTATATAATTTTTTTTGTTATTAACACTTGCGCGGTGTTTGTATACTGCTATCTGGTCACAAATGACCAATTATCAGTTATTTTCTGACCTAACATAATAACAGCAAATACTTAAATCTAAGGGCTTACCCTATGGCTTACTCTTATTTTATCTATTAAATAATGCACTACAACTAGCATGCAATAACTTCACAGCACTATACTCTGCTTTTTACACTAAACTGTTACACATTTACACTAGCTCAAATGGTTTTGTCCTTATGAGTCTTCTCTTTAGTTCAGTGTTGTCAAGAAGCTGGATTGCCTCGACATTCACATGACTATGCAGCCTCTGCTCGTGACTTGCTGCTGTTCTCTTTGATTATTTCGATCACAGTTTCCATACCCAGGTCCTGGTGAAGGTTGCTGTTACGGATATACCAAGAAGCATCAACAATGTTTCTCAGTACTTTATTTTGAAATCTCTGGATAATAAGTAGACTACTAGGTTTGGTACAGCCCCAGAGTTGGCACCCATATACTCATACTGGCCTCAGTACTTGCTTGTAGATGGATAATTTATTATGAATTGCCAATGTTGAATTTTTTCCAATCAGCCAATACAATTTCTTATATCTAATATCAAGCTCCCCTCTTTTCTTTTTGACATGGACTTTCCAGCGCAGCTTCGCGTCTAGGGTGATGCCCAAGTATTTTGCTGATGTTGTATAAGGAATTCGGGTAATCATTTATTCTAACTGGGAAATTTTCTATTTTTTTATTTGTAAAGTTAATGTGTGCAGATTTAGTCTCATTTAATTTTATTCGCCATTTTCTGGTCCAGTTATGTATTTTATTTACTGATAGTTGCAATTTATCAGTCGCTTCTTCACTAGTGTCTCCTATCGCTAGTATGGCTGTATCATCCGCGAAGGTGGCAATAGTATTTTGTTCTAGTTCTGGAATGTCCACAGGTATACAATAGGTACAGGACCGGACCTAAGACACTTCCTTGTGGTACGCCAGCTTTGATCTCCCTTAAGTCGGTGTACACTTCTTCTTGTTTTACTCTGAAATATCTATTCGCAATGTATGATTCCAAGATTTCTGAATACTGTTTAGACATGAACGTTCTTAGTTTATAGTTTAAACCGTCATGCCAGACTTTATCAAACGCCTGTGCTACATCCAAGAAGATTGAAGAGCAGACTTTATTTTCTTCTAATGTTTTTTCTATTATATTCGTTATTCTGTGAACTTGATCCATAGTGGAATGTTGATTTCTGAAACCAAATTGATGACTTGGTATAAGATTTTTTCTTTCTATTATTGGTTTTAATCTTTTTAATAGAAGTTTTTCAAATAGTTTTTGACATCACCGGAAGGAGGGATATTGGTCGATAGGATGTCACTTTCATCAGGAGATTTACCTGGTTTGGCGATCATAATTACTTCGGCTACTTTCCAGAGTCTGGGAACATATCTCAATCTAAGAGCAGCATTTATTAGGTGTGTCAGCTTAACTATGGCTTTTCTTGGTAGATTTTTTAATAATTCTCCTGTTATGAGATCATATCCTGGAGCTTTCTTAGGATTTATATTCTCTTTTATCTCTGTTGATACTTCTCTAAGTGATGTCAATGTTATTCTTTCGTCAGTTTGGAATGGTTCTTCCCATCTCAGTTCTTCACTATCATTGTCGTTGGGTTTGAACGTGCTTTCTAAATGATCTGCAAATCGTTCTGCTTTCTGTTCGTTACTTCTAGCCCAGTTGCCGTTTTCCAACTTGATAGGAGGGGAATGAATAATTGGTCTCTTCAATCTTTTTGTTGCCTTCCATAAAGAATAATCTGTGTTCTGGTCAGCTGTTAAATTACTTAAAAAATAAATAATTGTTGAATTTTTTATATTCTGTATCTCCCTTTTTAGTTTTTGTGTAGCATTATTTAGACTAGTTTTGTCTCGTGGAACTCTGTATTGCTGCCATTTTTTTCTTAACTTCCTTTTTTCTACTATGAGTTCTCTGATTTCTTTTGGATAATTGTTCCCTTTTGTTCTAGAAGTTATTGTGGGAGTATTTTCCCAAGCTGACTGTTGGATATTTTTTATAAAAACTTCGAATTCGTCATCAAGTTGCCTCGTGTTTCTTAATGGAACAGCAAGATTAATTTTGTGTTCAAGGTTTATTTTGAAGCTCTCCCAGTCAGTTTTCTTATTAGTCAATATTGGATTGAACTCTTTTTTAATCACTATATCACTCATAGTTAGAATTATCGGTGAGTGATCAGAGTTCATGTCCCAGCCGTCATTGATATCCAGATAGTTAGCTGAGATATTTTTGTAAATAAAGAAATCTATCAGGTCTGGAATTTTGTTCCTATCGGTAGGCCAGTATGTTGGTCTACCAGTAGAGATTACTTCACCCTTTTGTTCCTTAACAGCTGACAATAGTTCTTTTCCTTTAGCTGTAGTTAGCCTAGAGCCCCAGTGGGTATTTTTTGCATTGAAGTCCCCACCGATGATGTATCTTTTTCCTAAAGTGTTCATAAACTCTTTATATTGCTCTCTTTTAATGGAGTGTCTAGGAGGACAATATATTGAACTTATATTTAAGGTATGTGTTTTCATCTTCACACAGACTGTTGTAGCTTGTATGTGCTCAGTTGCATATTTTAATTCCTCATGATGCAAGATGTTATCTTTAATTATAATAGCGCTTCCTCCTTTAGCTGCATTATCTGGGTGTACAGTAGAATATACTCTATACCCCCTAAATTTTACATATGACTGTTTAGTGAAGTGTGTTTCAGAAACGAGACACATATCAATTTTCTCAATATCTAGTACTGCTTGCAACTCGATCTGATGTTGTAACAGTCCATTTGCGTTCCACGCCATTATTTGGAGGTCTTTAGTAGCCATTTCTGATTTTCGGAATAGCTCCTTTAGCGCTATGCTCTAGTCGGGTAACTCTGATATCGATTTGAGTTATTTTGTCATCAATCTTGGTGAGCTGTTCCAATATCATTTTTAATGTAATATCAGCAAAGTTATCCCCCAATATCTACCGATGTGATTTAAATCATTATATTAAATATGATTTTAATCATTATATTTAAGTAATCAGGGGGATATGAAATGAGTCACCACATATATTGTACGAAGAATAACCAACACTTTTTTCGAAAGCAAACTTAGTGAAGGAGCCAATAAAATTTGAGGAAATATCCCTACATAAAGGGAGTTATCTAAATATGAACAAATGTGATAATTTATTAGGGAACTTATAAGGGAATAAATTCGTAACAGAAAATTCCGATCCTCCTAGGTTAAGGCATAGGGCTTGCCCACTGCACTTGTAAAACTATGGCTTATTGCAAAATGTCCTAGTAATCAACCTCAGATACAGAATAGTCTCTAACGGAAACGAAATGGCTATCGAAAACGGACTTTGATTATGAGGATATGGAACATACAGTGGTGGAGAAACAATTGGCCAAGCCATTCCTGAAATATAAAAAGAGAAAATCCGATGTTAGTGTTAATACAGAAACGAAGAAAAAGGACAAGACAGTGAAAGACATTGACGGATATATTCATCTTTATAGTGGCGAAACTGAATTCAACAGACCAAATTATTTATGCTAAATTAACTACACCAAATCGTTCGACTGCGTACGTTGGCAGCAACTATGGAGCATCCTCGAAGAAATGAGTATACCCTATTATTTGATTTACCTAATAAAAAATCTGTATGACAATAACAGTGGCAGGGTCAACGTGAAACGTGAACTTATTTAGTGTTTTACAGAGATGCAGTGTACCCATCACTACATCTAAAAAAGAATTGGAAGAACTGATACGAAGAGTTGACTAAAAAAGTTGGAAAGTCGGCGTCTATATTACCAAACAGAAAATCAAAATAATGACAAGATCTATAACATCGAAACGGTTAACAGTTTCCCTTATCTCGGCTCTGACTCAAGAAGAATTGCACTGGACAAACAACCCATGACAAAACATAGATTTGGAAAAGTCATTGTATAACGGTTAACACCAAAGTACAAATGTACATCTGAATGTTAAACATTACAACAAACAGACAACAAGATAGATGCCTTTGGGATGTATTGCTGGCGTCGAATGGTAAACATGTTATTCTGGCTGTACAACTTTGCGTGGGTCGTAGTCTCCTCAAGAATCTCTCTGCAGTCGCTCCTATCCATCGCCTTCCTCCGCTAAGCACGTATTCCCATATTTCTCATGTTATCATCGATGTTATCAAGGAACCTTGTTCTGGGTTTTTCTTTTCTTCTTTGACAAATGTGTCTATCAAGGAGCGTTTTTCTAGTTAGGTCATTTTCTTTTTATTAGCCGTTCATAAAAGACTGACATTGAAAAATAACAAGTCACTATAAAAGACTGAGTAGGATTATAAACACAAATGAAATAATACACATCAAGATACTTCTGTCACAATTTATAACAAATCTTCATATTTCATTCACGGCAATATTAATTGCAATCTTTTATTTCTGATGATAGTCTCAGATAGCATTATCGGTCCTTGTAGTTCATGTTCTACTGTATAAATCAAAAATATTTACAAAAATAGTGTTCCATTCTTACCTTTCGCACTATGAGCTGCTTCATGGGTAGATATTTCATTATTTCTTGGAGTTTCCTCTAAAAGTAAATTATCTTGGTATATAACACAATAAATTGAAGAAATAGTAATGGTTATAATAATATACAAAATTTAAATGCTTTTCTAGACCTGATTTGCATGATAAGTAATTGTAAAAAAATAACACAAAGAAACACTGCACCATTGTAAAGAGTGACATGAATTCAAAGAAAAACATTAATGCAGTTGTAACGTTACACACTATTATAAAACAGTGCAAATACATTAACAAACGGAATCAAGCAATATTTTACTAAAACTATTAATTGCACACAAAACCAATCTTCCTTAACCAATAAGAAATAAAAATGTTGTCTCTAGTAGGTACCTCGACGAGTCAACATCGTTCGCTGCTATGTTTAATCTTCTTCTTCGCGTGCTATATCAGAATTATCCGACGTTGGCGATCACCATTGCGAAGTCTTCTCGATCTTCTGCAATATGGAGTAATTGTCCCGCATTTGATACCCGAGTCCATTCACGAATGTTCCTCAACCAAGAAACCCGTTTCCTTCCTACACTTCTACGGACCTCTATTTTACCTTTAAGGATCAGTTGCAATATTTTAGATCGACTTCCCCTTAATACATGTCCCAAATAAGACATTTTTTGATGTTTAACAGTATTTAGCAGATTTCTATCTTTGTTGACGCTCTATAGTACTTCTTCATTAGTTTTCCTTGCGGTCCAAGGTATCTTCAGTATTCGTGTATGAACTCACGTTTCCAATGCTTCAATTTTGTTCATGATCGATACTTTTAGCGTCCATACTTCTGCACTGTACAAAAGTATGGACCAAACATAGCACTTAACCATTCTTTGTCTTAGTTCTAAACCGAGATGATTATTGCAAAGAAATGACTTCATTTTCATACAAGTAGTTTTACTCATTGCTATTCTACGTTTTATTTCTATGTCTGGATCTAGTTGGTCCGTTATCACAGTTCCTAAATAGGCCATTTTATGAATTTTCTCAACTTGGACTCCATTTAATTTAAGCTTTGCATAGGGATGTGGGTCACGACTAAAGAATAAAAATTTGATTTTGAGTTTATTTTAATGTTCATTTCCTCTCCTACCTCGTGAATACGATCAAGCAGAATTTGGAGACCTTCAATATTATCTCACAGAATTACTGTATCGTCTGCCTATCTAATCACATTAAGTAGTTTCCCGTCAATTTTTATTCCATATGGTTGTCTCTCAAGTGCATTTTTAAAAAGTGGTCCGAGTAAACAGTGAACAAAATGCAAACTTGTCTGACTCCTCGTTGTATGGAGATTTCATCGGTGCAGTTATCTCCAATTTTTACGATAGCAGTTTGACTCCAGTACAAATTTTTAATGACACGAATATACTTGTCACCTATTCCGATATTTATCAGTATTTGCATTAATTTTACATGCTGTACTTTATCGAATGCCTTTTCGAAGTCCACAAAACATGCAAATATATCTTTTATTTGGTCACGACATTTTTGTAATAGGAAGTGCCTCCCTGGTTCCCACAGCATTTCTAAAACCAAATTGGGTATCTTCGAGATCTTCTTCGATTTTGCGTCTAATTCTGTTGTGAATTATACTTAGAAAAATTTTAAGAGTGTGGCTCATTAGGTGCCGGTAAAATGTGTAATTACCAACTACAAATACATTAATATGCCGAGCAAATAATTATATTTCAAAATATTGTTTCTGCTAAGGACTACACGGGCAGTAACGTGCAAAATAATTACTCTATAGGTTCAAATATCGATATGTCTCAAACTACAGGTACCTAGTACAACTTCATCTATACCCAGAGTTAAATCTATTCAGAAACCGTTTTTGGCGTAAGCGTCGTTTCAAAGAAAGCCCAAGCGGTAGTATTACATGCTGATTAAACCCTTAAATTACAGCGCTATATTAAAGCTACAGGCGATGCCATTGGTTCCAAATAAATAATTTTCGCTTCTTGGATATCAATAATAGAATACGAATTTATCTCACAAACTCCAATCAAGTCGAACAGTTATTAAAATCTGATCCAAATATTCAGATAGGGGACATTACCCTAAATATTCGCAGATTAGTTTCCCCCACCAAAAGAATCGTCATATAAAATATTTCCCCAACCATACCACATGATATTGTAGAAAGTGCCATAAAAAATGTTGGGCTAAAAAATGTTTTTTTCCACGACACATAATTTTGAATTACAAACTTCAATTGCAATACCTTTTGAAAGTAAATGAAAATAGAATTTTTTATGAACAGATAAAATTAAGTGTTTTAGCCTCCAACCCGCCAACCATTAATTTAACCCAAATTCCAAAATCAAATCCCAAATCATTCATGAACACAAACTTTCTACTAGATAACACACAGTCCACAGACATTTCCAGATCGCCCCTATTGCAGATACTGCACAAAATGAAACACTTGCTGTACTAAACCCTTAAACGAGGTCGTTCGAAAGTATCGACGGCAACGAACGAAAATAGCTCTCTAGATGACACTGTTAACATGCCTCCAACCATTTCACCTGCCAGTCACACAGAGCATGATAAAAACGCAAAGAAAAAAGGAAGAAACGAAGGACAAACCCGTGAATCGAAATCGGTCTAACTGAACAAACTAAAAATGATATAAAACAGACCTACAATCAAAAACAAAGATGCATTCATACTTCCACAAGAAAACAGATACTCGATAACAACTTTCTGAAATAACGATCCTTGTACAGAAGCAGTGCAATTTAAAAATGTTATTAAATCTTTGCTCTTAAATTTACAATTTTTGTACCCATATCTCCAAGAAAGGTCAAAAGCCTGGCATTCCCTAAACTCTTATACGCATCTGAATGTTAAACATTAAAACAAACAGACAACAAGACCTTTGGAATATATTGCTGGCATCGAATAGTAAAAATGTTATTTTGGCCTTACAACTCTGCGTGGATATTAAGATTTCCCTCCTCAAGAATTTCTTTCTATCCATAGCCCTTCTCGGCCAAGCACGTATTCCCATATTTCTCATGCATTCATCGATGTTATCAAAGAACCTTGTTCTAGGTTCTTCTGTTTCTGCTTAGACAGCCTTTAATAAAAGACAGACATTGAAAAATACCAAGCCACCATAAAATATACTATGAAGATTGAGTAGGATTATAAACAAAAATAAAATAGTACATATTAAGATACTTCTGCCACAATTTATAACAAATGTTCATATTTCATTCACGGCAAATTAATTGAAATCATTTATTTCTGATGATGGTCTCAGCTAGTATTTTCAGTCCCTCGTGTTCTACTATATAACTTATCAAATAATTATAAAAATAGTGTTCCATTCTTACCGTTCGCACTATGAGCTGCTTCATGGGTAGATATTTCATTATTTCTTTGAGTTTCCTCTGAAAGTAAGTTATCTTGGTATATAACACAATAAATTGAAGAAATAGTAATGGTTATATACAAAATTTAATAAAATGTAAATGCCTTCCTAGACCTGTATTTCATGATAAGTAATTGTAAAAAAATAAAACAAAGAAACATTGCACAATTATTGTACAGAGTGGAATTAATTCAAAGAATACATTAACAAACGGAATGGAGCAATATTTTTCAATATTAACAAATCTTAATATTTCATTCTCGGCAACCTTAATTGCAATCATTATTTATGATGATCAAACTATCAAAAATAATTAAAAAAATAGTCTTCCAGTCTTACCTTCCGCGCTATGAGCTACTTCATGGGTAGATATTTCATTTCTTCCTGGAGTTTCCTCTGAAATTAAGTTATCTTGATATATAACAAATATAAATAATTCCCTTTTAATAATTCTTATATTATTACCAATATTCATATTTGATATTAAATAAATGTTATGAGTATGCAAACAAGTAGTTAAGATTAATGTCACATAGCAATTAGAGTAAAAATTCTTATGACATTTATTGTCGTTTGACAGTTCGGCTGACAGTTTGGTTTTGAAGGATATTTTATAATAAAATATACATATATACAGGGTGTTTCCCTGTATATACATATGTATGTATATATTAAGGTATGTACCTTAGTACAAAAGTACACACAAAAAAAGTTACATCCCTTTGAAGTTACAAAATAAAAAATGTTTTTTTTTGCATTATCTCCTAAACTACTTTACATTTTGTAATAAAAATGGACACCACGTTACTTTCGTGTTCTGAAAGCATTTTTCATACAAAAGAAACAACACAATCTAAGCTCTCAGAAAAATTTTAAGGGGGATGTGCAGCCCTAAATCCCCCCAAACTTTTGAGTACGCGCAAATCAAATGAATTTTGTGGCATCATTAGCTTAACACATTATATTTAAAACTTTTTGCCTCTTATCACTTTTTCGAAAAACTAGTTTCCTAGTTGGTCATAAAACAAGGAAATGCAAGTGCAGCAGCCGCAAGGCGTTATGCAGTAAAATACCCCAATCGAAATACACCCGATAGACGATTATTTCTGACCATTGATCGTCGTTTACGGGAAACGGGTACATTCCAACCGCAAGTTGCTGACAATAGTAGTCGTCCAATAATGGATGCAACTGATGAAAGACATTTTAGAAATCATTGAAGAAGTCCCTGGAACAAGTACAAGGGTAACATCTGCTCAACTAAATGTTCTTCATAGGTTTGGAGGCATTTGAAGGATCAGCTACTTAAACCCTATCACTTAACAACGGTTCAAGAGTTACTGGTTGAAGATTATCCTAAAAGGATTGGATTTTGCGATTGGTTGTTAATGGAAAACACTCGAAATGTTAATTTTATTAGAAATATTCTGTTTACCGACAAGGCTACCTTCAGTAGAAATATAATAACAAACCATCATAATGAGCACATTTGGGCCGACGAAAATCCTCACGCCAAAAAAACGACTCATCGCCAAAGGATTTTCAAAGTTAATGCTTGGGCAGGAATTGTGGATAACAATCTAATAAACCCAGTATTTCTTCCCAACAATTTAAATGGTGATAATTAGTTGCAGTTCTTGGCAAACGATTTATAAGAGTATTTGGAAGAAGTGAATATTGCAATAAAACAAAATATGTAGTTTCTACAAGATGGCGCACCACCGCATTACAGTAATGAAGTCCGGGAATACATTTGAAGGCAGTATCCTGGTCGGTGGATTGGAGGGGATCGCCACGCACCTATTTCTTGGTCACCCAAAAGTCCAGGTTTTAACCCCATGGTTAAAACATGGACTTTTGCTTTTGGTGGTTTATGAAAGAGAAAGTGTATTCTGTAACAACAGAGGACAAACAATAATTGAGGGTTAGAATAATTAAAAAAAAAATTTGTTTAAAATCCTTTATAAAAGGTATAATAAAAATGCCACAAACGGGCTATCACAACACATTGCAAAACGTTTTCGGATTAAACAATCCATCATCAGTGCAAACCTGAAAGTATATAACCACTTTAATTAAAAAGAACGTTAAATGAAAATGTTGACAAAGGTTAGAGCAAAATGTGGTTAATACTTATGGTTGTACATGCTAGTAGCCACCAAAATATATGGGTAAAAACCCTTTAAATGTTTAAAATTTGAAGTTGTTTTACATTATTAGTATTTATAATTAGTATTTATAATTAGTTGTTTATAATTTGTGATGGATAGGTAACATGGCGGCGTATGACTCTACATGAGTAAAATGGTCCTGAGACGAAGTGTCTACGAGGACCTGTTGATAACAACTGATCAAAATGACATTGTTGACATGTTAGGACGGATGTTGTGTCAGAGCAGTCAGTGTAAACTTACGGTAGTTGTCTAAAATTGACAGATGTCAGCCTTATTTAAAATTGAAAAAGTTAAAATTATAATAATGTAACAGTATCAACCATCAATATTGTAATCTGTATTGTAAACTAATGTATATATATATATATATATATATATATATATATATATATATATTTTAATAGCTATATAGTTTCAAATAGCTATATTTGAAACATTGAAAATTGGTTTTTTAAAAATTGATGTAGGTCAACTGGAATTTATGAAATTTTGTAGGATTGATAGGCAACCTATACATGTGTAAGGATCTATTTATTTTAATTGAACTGAAAGACTGAAAGAAAATTTAAAAAGTCTGGCATACTTGCCCACACACATAAACAACCTACCATCTTTACTTTACACACATAATCAGTAATTCATGTTCACGTACTTATAACTTAAAAATTTTTATTTATCTTTACTAGGTACCAAATGTAGTTTTTTGACATAAACGGCCTTCCATACTTATGTTTTAAGTTGAGTACTACACGAACACCACATTATGATCACATTCTTATCATATTTACATTTCAGCTCAACAACATATCTAAACACACCTCCACCTACTACATCAATACTCAATAATAAATCTTTTACCATTCCCACATGTACCTTTTTTACCATTTTCTAGGTACCAAATGCCTCACAAACATACAGGGCCTTTTGACAAAATCTTTAGCTTAAAATAAATAGATCCTTACAGACGTATAGTTGGTTGCCTATCAATCCTACAAAATTTCATAAATTCCAGTTGACCTACATCAATTTTTAAAAAAACCAATTTTCAATGTTTCAAATATAGCTATTTGATTAATTTACAATACAGATTACAATATTGATGGTTGATACTGTTACATTATTATAATTTTAACTTTTTCAATTTTAAATAAGGCTGACATCTGTCAATTTTAGACAACTACCGTAAGTTACACTGACTGCTCTGACACAACAACCGTCCTAACATGTCAACAATGTCATTTTGATCAGTTGTTATCAACAGGTCCTGGTAGACACTTCGTCTCAGGACCATTTTACTCATGTAGAGTCATACGCCGCCATGTTACCTATCCAACGGTAACTTAACCACGGTTCGTAGACTTACTACGGTTGCCTCTTCCGACTGGGGTGGGGATGCTTGAGTTACGTCACAGGAGTACACAAGAATACAAAACCCATTTATTCGCGATTGAAACTGAATGTAGAGGGCAGGTCGATTGCAGTGTCATGGCCGATATAAATGGTATAAACAAAAACAAACATAACATTCGAATATTTACCATTGCTTTTCCATGTTTAGTTTGGTTTAAGACGAGTTATTTGTATCATTTAATAATGGAAATTAACCTTAATGATATCTTTGAGTATTGTGGTGAAGCAAAGAGTCCATTGGTTGAAGGGGAAGCAGTTTTCAAGTGATGAATTCCTAAATTTTAACTTTAATGTTTCGAACTGGCTTGTGTATTGATGATGATGAATCCTATTTTGTGTATACCTGGGAACCCAGAATATAATATTCTGTGTAATGTTTGCCTTAACGTATATATGCATTATTATACCTTATGTTTTTAATATGTTAATTTTTATTTTATACTATTTTTTGACATATGTAAGTACTTTATTGTATATTAACATAAATAAATAACTTTAACTTGGCTTTATTGTAAAATAGTTCATTTGATTACATGAAATCAACCTACTTTATTTATAAAACATTTTTGTTTTGATACATCCATCCAATCACAGGGCTGAATGTTAAGATTCAAATTACGTCACAGGAGTACAATCCGGCTTAATGTTCATTGGTTAGGCGGAAGAGGCAACCGTAGTAAGTCTAGGAACCGTGTAACTTAACCATCACAAATTATAAATACTAATAATGTAAAACAACTTCAAATTTTAAACATTTAAATGGTTTTTACCCATATATTTTGGTGGCTACTAGCATGTACTAACCGTAAGTATTTTCATTTAACGTTCTTTTTAATTAAAGTGGTTATATACTTTCAGGTTTGCACTGATGATGGATTGTTTAATCCGAAAACGTTTTGCAATGTGTTTGTGATAGCCCGTTTGGGGCATTTTTATATACCTTTTATAAAGGATTTTAAACAAAATTTTTTTGTGATATATGGTATACAGCCAGCTACAGGAACTTGGTTTCCTCGTGGAGTTAGAATAATTGTTAGAAACATAATCAATGAGTCGTGGGACAATACCCAAGAGATTAAATGTCGCATCGGAAAGGCCACAAGTGCATTCTTGGCTATGAGCTCTGTGTTCAAAAGCCATGACCTCACCCTGAAAACAAAAATAAGGCTCCTTAAATGTTACGTGTACTCAGTGCTTCTGTATGGAGTAGAAACGTAGACATTGAAGGCGGAAACTCTATCAAAACTTCAGGCGTTTGAATTATGGTTATACAGAAGAATCCTGAAGATACCATGGACAGACAAAGTCACCAATGAAGAAGTACTGCGGAGGATGAACAAAACCACGGATTTGGTCAACATTGTGAAGAGCCGTAAGCTGGAGTACTTGGGACATATGAGAAATCAAGGCAGATACAAGCTACTCCAATGCATTTTGCAGCGTAAAATTGAAGGAAAAAGAGCCCCAGAACGAAGAAGAATATCCTGGCTTGCTAACCTGAGAGCATGGTATAGAAAGACCTCAACACAGCTATTTCGTATAGCAACCAACAAAATCATCATAGCCAGAATGATCGCCAACGTTCGGAACGGACAGGCACCATAAGAAGAAGAAGAATAATTGAAGCTGCAAATCAATTTCGCCATAAAAATATGATTTTTCAGCGCATTCGGTTTTCCTTAATAAAACGATACCGAATGTGTATTGAAGAAAATGGGGGTCATTTTGAACATTTATTGTAATATATTTATAGAGGTTATAGACTTTTTTGTACTTGTTAATTCAAAGTTTAATGAAAAGGCCCGTAACTCA